AGTGTCAAGTGTCTGAGGTTGAATTTGAACTCAGGTCTTCCCGACTCTAGGATTGGTGGTCTATCCACTTCGCCACCTAGCTGTCCCTGGAGGTTCTTTTGATACCCGACTCTGCCTACACCAATATCTTCTAGCTTAAAAATAGTAAAACAAACTCAAATCGAACCAGTGTAGTGGGAAAGGCTCTGGATTTGTGTGTCCTCACTCTTATCACAGACTACCTGTGTGACCTCACTTTTGTGGTGGAGGAGAAGGGGAGGGATTAGTCTGCATGACTGCAGTTCAACAGGCATGCAATAGCTACCCCCCCAGATGATTTCAAGCCTCAATGTGTAGGGGGTGCAGGGGAGGCATCACAGGGCCACAGCCTTCACAGGTATTTGCATTCTAGGGGGAGAGGCCTGCCAGAAGTCATTGACCTTGAGGTTTCTAGCACAATCCTGGCAGCTTCCAGGTGGTGGTTTCCTGTCAGTATCTCCTCTCATCCTGACCTCTTCACCACAAAAAAAGAACGAGTGAATCCTTCCTGGAGTGTTAAAAGATTTTGTTGGCATAATTCTCATTTAAGTAATGAATCACTTCCCTTGGGATGGTGCTTATCTCTTGAAAACTGAAAATTTTTAGTACAAGTGGTTTTTGCAAAAAAATACCCAGTTATCTTTTGGGCCATAAACATGACCCAAATGCCTATTTGGCATGAACTCAGAGGATTTCCTCCTTTTCAAACATTTGAGGGCATACATATTCTGCATAGGGGCATTGTTAAATGCTAAGGATGAAAAAAAAAACAACCTACATTTAGACCCTCTCCCCACCTCCATTCCCCCAAAGCACTTACCTTTCTAGGCAATGAGGTGGTGAAGTGGATAGAATGTTGGGCCTGAAGTCTGGAAGACCTGAGTTCAAATCTGATCTCAGATACTCACCAGCTGTTTGACCCTGGGCAAGTCGCTTAACTTCTATTTGCCTCAGTTTCCACAACTGTAAAATAGGGATAACAGCACCTACCTCACGCAGTGGTTGCGAGGATCCAAGGAGCTATTTGTAAAGTGCTCAGCACAGTTGCTGGCACATAACAGGTGCTACATAAATGTTGGCCTTTATTATTAAATATTTGTTTAAAAAAAAAAAAAGCTCTTAGCACCATGCCTGGTATGTGTAGACATTATGTAAACGCTAATTCTTTCCCCTTTCCTTCTCTTACCTCTGAGGAGAAAGAATGTACCACCCACGGGCAAATGAAGGTGCCGAGTACCAGACAGCATTATAAAAGTTAGGAGGATTGAATGATCACAGGCGTCCAGTCAATGAAAACTAGGCCAAATATGAGATGAATTTTAATAGAGACAGATTTCACACTTGGATTGGATAAACCAGCTTCACCATTTAAGATGGTGGTGTGGGACAGGGAGACAGGAGAGGCACGAAGAGATCTGAAAGTGGTCTGGGAAGTTTCGGGGGACCCCAAGCTCAGTGGGTCAGCACTTGTGGACGTCAAAAAAGCCAGCCATGATTGTGGGAGCAGCGATGGTCCTGCCACATTCTGCCCCAATTTAAGCCCACATCTGGGGTTCTTTGTTCCAGTTTGTATTTTTCATTTTAGGAGGGGCAACGATAAGCTGGAGGGAGTCCAGAAAATGCAACCAGGATGGGGAAGGGCCTTGAAATCATGCCAGATAAAGATTTGTTGGAGGAAATGGGGATGTTTAGTCTGGAGAAAAGGAAGTAGGGAAGAGGTGAGTTTGGAAGGGGAGGAGCCATGGCAGCAAGTATTCAAGTAGTTTAAATTTAAAGGATTATAGACTTGTTCCACTTGGCCTCAGAGCACAAATTGCAAGGGAAGAAATTTAGCATGGTATAACATAGGGGAACACTTCACAAAAGGATGGACTGCCTCTGGGGATAATGGGTCCCGCTCCCACCCCAAGGTCTTGAAACAAAGAGAATGCTGTGGAGAGAATTCTTGTTCAGATAGATCAAATTAGATAGCCTCTGAAGTAAAAAATATTTTAAATATTCTGTGAAGGTGGAGCTGAGCAAGGGGAGAATAGAGCGTGGAGGACATTCACAATTTGAGTTGGATCTCACCTCAGAGTAACCTAAAAGCATCTGGGCAGAAATCCTTCTGCCTCTCCCCCCAGTAATATTCTAAACAAATGGTCATCCAGCCGCAGTATTAGTATCTCCATCGAGGGGAACCCACTCCCTCCTGAGGCAACCCATCTCACTTTTGGAGAGCTCTTATCATTAGAAAGGTTTTTGATTTTTAATTTCTCCTTCCCCCTTCCTCCTAGTTGTATATGGGGGTGTGTGTGTGTGTGTGGTATCAAGAACAGAAACAGTCTAATCTCTTTCACATAAAAGCTTCCTAATACTTGAAGGAAACCAACCCAGCTGCATTAGTCTTTTTTTTTCCCCCAGGCTTAAACATCCCTGGATCCTCACATGGTATGGGTTTCGACCTTCTCACATTGACTGCCCTCCTCTTGGTATATTTTAAATTCGTATGATCACAGCTCAATGTGACATTATAGATGCATCATTTAAAGAGGGGCAGAATACAGTAGAAGCATCTTCCTTTGCTATGGACACTAATGTCACCCCAGCACCTGATGTGGTCTTGGTGGTCTCACGTCAAGTGTTCAGATGGACCATCAACAATTGTCTCGCCACACTTCCTCCATCTGATAGTTGTGCCATTGATTTTTTGAACCAAAACATAGGGGTTGGGATTTTTTTCTATTAAATTTTATATTATTATATTCAGTCCATTGTCCTAACCTGTCAAAACAGTTTTTAGATTCTGACCTGGTTGACCAATATATTAAAAATCCCATTCAACTTCATGTTACCTGCAGAGTTGATAAGAATCCATCTACAAGCCTTCTTCAGAGCCACTCATAAAAATGGTGAACCAGAATAAGGCCATTAACATCCCAGGAAGCATTTATTGGACACCTTCCAGGCAGGAGTGGATGTAAATGATGTGGTCCAAGGGATAAAACCACCAATTTGGCTGGAGTGGAAGGCTTTTATAGGGGACTGCACTAGGAGATAAAGGCCAAATTGAGGCTAAGGAGCTTAGACTTTATCCTATAGTCAAAAGGGAGTTATGAAGGTTATTGAACAAGGAAGTAACATGCTGAATCAAAATGGTGTTTTAGGTGGAGTAACCTGACGCGATGATCTGAATCGATTCCCCAGGAAACAAATGGGGATGGGTTTAAGTTGGACTGTTCAAGTGTTCAGTCTTCTAGGTGAGGAGATGAAAGCCTGAATTGGGGTAATGTCAGTGAGGCTAACAAAGGATGAATTAGAGGCATAATGACATTAAATATTGATATTTTTGAGCGTAAGAAAATATCTTTGACAAAAAAGTAGAGAAATTAGGAGGGAAAACTAGTTGAGACATGGACAGAGATGGTAGGCTTAGGACATAACTCAGTGCATGATGATGACAGTAGATACCTAGATGGAGTCTAGATGGAGGAAGCAGACAATCCTGAAGCTCAGGAATAAATTCTGGGCCAGAAAAGTACATTTGGGAGTCATCCAAGAGGGGATAGTCGAAACTACGAGAACACAAACCGTCATCTTCCAAGAAGGAAAGGTAGACCAACAAAAGAGCTGATGACTGAGCCTTGGGGTCTGTTCATATTGAGGGGACAGGAAAACAGACATTTTGAAGGAGATAGAAGGAGCCTGAGAATTAGGAGGAGAATCTGGACCACGGGTCATTGGAACAAGGAGAAAAGTTTCAATAAGATACTCGTGGTTAACAGTATCATCCAATTCTGCAGACTGGCCAAGAAGAATTAGGAATGGAAAAAAAAAAGCTACTAGATTTGGCCTTGGAGAAGGCAGTTTCCATAAAGTGGAGGACACAGGAGATCAAGGAGTGTGCACACAAAAATAGTGCCCTTATGAACTCCTTTGGCGAAATCTGGCAGTGCAAGTGGGGGGCGGCACAGGAAGATTGCTCACTGAGTGAACTGACTTGAAGGCAGGCTTTGCTTTTTTTCTTTAACGATAACAAAAGACCTAAATATGTATTTTATATTTACTTGTCAACATGTTCATTTCTTCTAGTAGAATGGAAACTCCCTGAGGGCACGTGTTCTGGTACGGAGCAGACATTTAATAAATGTTCGTGAAGTAGAACTGAATTTTCAGACACAGGACAAGGAACCAACAGGGATTAAGAGATTTTGGATGGAAGAGGGAATAATTGATGGAACAAAATCTGGAGAAGACAGCAGGGGTGCAGGAGTCAGCCTCAAAAGGGAGAATGAACTTGCCTCCAAAGCAGAAGCAAAGGGCAAAGGGCAGGATACATTTCTTATCGTCGACAATTTACAGCAATAATTGATTTATGTTGGAATATTAGATCTTTTCTCTGGGAAGAAATTCTTTTCCAAAGCTAGATTCTACAGGGAATATCTGGAATTTGAGCAGCGACAAGAGGGCTGACTTCCTCTGGAGAACAGGACACTCATTCCTTTGCTTGTGGGAATACGCCTAGCCTTTGGCAGGACAATAGTTCAGGGTGGTTTCAGTACACTGGAGTAAAACATTTTCATTTTCAGTCCTAGAGAAACTCTGTAATCATCATGGTTGTATTCCAGGAAACAAAACAAAACATTTTGTCCAGTTATTTAGTTGTGTCCAACAATCTGTGATCCATTTGGGGTTTTCTTGGCAAAGAGACTGCAGTGGTTTGCCATTTCCTTCTCCAGCTCATTTGACAGATGAGAAAACTGAGGCAAACACGGTGAAGTGACTTGCCCAGGGTTACGCTGCTAGGAAGTGTCTGAGGCTGGATTTGAACTCAGGAAGATGAGTCTTCCTAACTTCAGGCCAGGCACTCTAGCCACTGCACCACCTAATGGTTCCCGAAATGCATTTTCTCAAAAGACGTCTCCTTATTGTTCCCTAAGACAGACCAATACAAAGTCAGCATCAGGCACTTCAAAGAAATAAACTAACTTCCCACAGCTCCAGGCAGTTTGAATTTACATTTTACTTCAAAAAAGGGGGGAGTACATACATGAGGAGGAAAACGGGGTAGAGAACGACAATTATCTGAAACTGTGATTTCTACAATTTGACCTAGAATTGTCGATTTTGTTTCAGCAGCCCTTTTCCTGCTGCTGTAGACTCACTTGCAGTTATTACAGGATTGCAGATAAGGAAACATTGTCAGAATTTAGGCCCCAATGGAAAGAAGAGTAAGTTATCATACAACAAGGTCATTTTATAGTACACAGCATTTTCTTTTAAATGATGTAACGTAATTGCAAATTGCAAGGAGTTAACAATACTAACACAAGAATAATCAAATTTGTGTGTTATTCATGTACAGCAACTAACTGCTTTACAAAAGAAGCAAAATAATACAATATATTGTCACATGTATTTACAGTGTAGTAAATATACTTTTCTGTCAAATTTTACACAAAAACTATTTACAAGTGAATATACTGCATTAAAAAAAATGTGGCTGACACTAAGAGTGACTTTTTGGTGGTAAGTTTGTTGCATAACATTGAATAAGACATGCTTCATTACATCGGGATGGGGTGGAAGATTTAAAAAAAAAAAAAAAACAACCTCTAGAATAAAAACAGAAAAGCCCTAAAACCTACAAATCAGTTAGGAATAGAGCCCTGGTGGGAATTCACAAAAGCTCAGTCCCTAAACCAAGTGAAATATTTCTCATTTATGGAAAATAGGGGCATGCACATGAGAACTGAGCCATTGGTTTAAGAGACAGATTATGTATGACTGAAATGACTGATTTACTATCTTTTTTTCCCCTCTTAAAAAAGGGCAGGAAAAAACCCCACAAATGATACATGATGGGTAACATGCTCTGACAATGAGATGTTCAGATCCTAGTGTCTGGTACAAAAACGTAGCCCAAATTATGGAGGGAAGGTGAATGGTATAAGACAAAATTACAGACCGTTCACGTTTGCTCCTTTCAAAAACTCAAAGTTTTCAAGAAAAGTGAAGGTTTGCCAAGAATGGCCATTTCCAACCTCCATGGTTTAAATTTCCTGGGATGATATCCTAGTAGGTCAGGAAGGTGGACTTCCTATGTTTCAAAGCGGGGCAAACAATTCTGATTGGTGCCATGCTGATCCTTACGTGAGGTAATCAATCCAAATGAATCCCATGGGGAGGCAAAGGGCTTGGTTTCTTCAGGCCTTGGAAAATCTGCTCACAGAAAAGTTGAATGGGTTGAAAGTCATCATTTTCAGTAGTAAAAACGACCTTAAGGAATTGTTCGGCTTTTCAAATTCCCATCGCTGTGTTCATCGAACAAACAAACAAAAAATTAAAAAAAAAAAAAAGATGGAATCAGAATGACTGAAGGTTCACAATGACTGATATTCCAAAAGCCAAGAAATGAGACAAGTACATGACCAGATTCACTGGATCTGAGGATGTTGTTTGCGAGACCCGAGACTACAAACTGATGGCAACGTTGGTCCTTGGCACAGATCACTGCTCTGTTCCTAAAGTTGGTTCTGTTCTTGTAGCATCCTCACGGGTTCTGGAGCACTGGAACCATTACAATTCTACTGCAGCATTTAGAGAATCAAGATTTTTTTTTTTAAGTTTGGTTAATTGCACAAGTCTTCAACTTTTCCCAAGAAACCTATGTCAAGAAAATTATTAATACTAAGGTTTTGTTTTTTTTTAATTTTGGCAAACCATTTGCATATTAAGTTTGTGTTTGTCGTTTTTTTTCCAGGACTGTAAACAAATTTAAAAAATTAAGTTATTTCTGAATATAACAAAAGGCAATTTATTTACATTAACATATTACATTGTTACTGTGTGAATAAATGTGGATTATGTGTATATTATTAAAATCGGAACACTTAATTGTACCATTCTTCATTAATTTAGCTGTGGAATTTAATTTACTGAAATCCACTAATGAAACAGTATTACAGGAAACTCCCAAGTCCTCTCCCTTCCCCTGCCACTTGTCTTCTTCTAAGTCACTGATAATTTATTTACCTCTAATTGAATGGAAAGCAGGGGCTGGAAGCTGAATCTCTCTCTTGCAGTACACAGTTTACCCTAAGTGTGCATAGCATCCAGATCCCCGCCCACTGAGCTCTAAGGATTCCACCTGTCTCGCAGGCCCCTCCAGGCAGTCATCACCTGGATCATATCACAGATCATATCACGATCCAGACAAACCCTTTAGCATGGCACCGCAGCATCTCGCGGTTCCCTCCCCGGTTACTTTGTTGCAGGGTTGTTAGTCTTTTCACAGTGATTAAATACAATTTTATCTTATAAAACCCAAGTGTTTGACTAGTACGATTCTTTTTTTTTTTTTAAAGGCCCAACAAATTCGGCAACACATCTTACTGTGAAAAATATCTAATAATATGCAGCTACCAGGAATTTGTATTCGACAAAGTAAGATGAAAGAGAGCTGGCTACTTCCAAAATTAAGTACCGTTTCATTTGACTAAGGGAACTCGGTATGTCTAGGCTTCGGTCACCCTTGGCCAAACCGGAGACCTACCAAAAAATGACCCCTCTGGCCACGCTGGCTTCCTCCATCCCCAATGACCCTGCCTAAAGTTGTTCTGAGAGCAAAGGGAAGAAAGGAAAAGCATGATCCCCACTAGGTGATCCATCGTCAGTGCTCACAAGCAGGGCTTCGAGCATATCCACGATTTAGGAAAGAAACATCTGAGGGAAAAGGGAACTGGTCTGGACACCCGGGCTGGCACACGGGTCTCGATGGTCACAGCTCTGATTTTGGTAGAGAAGAGATCCCCCCCACGCTTCACCCCTGTAATTATTGCTAAAGCTCCGTGTGTTCGTGTCTCACCAACGTTCTATGAAACGTGACATCTCCCCAAAGTACCTTTTACAATTCTGGCTTCCAGGGGGCAGTCACTGAAGCCTCAGCCCAGGACTCCTCCAGCTTTGCGTTGTCACAAAGAGTCCACAGCTCAAAGTGAGGTTGAAGGGGCTGCAGATGTCGCTTCTCCCCGAGCGTCCCTAACCCTTTACTCCGTGAGACAAACGAGAAAGGAAAGCAAGGCAAGACCGCGGGACGAAGCGGTTCTAACAGCGGGACAGAGACGCTCGTCTCCCCGCAGGAAGGTTCCCGTTCCCCACTTCCCAGACGGTCTTCTCGAGTTATTCTGAAACACTGACTCAAACCCACCAAGACCCGCCCCGAGGCGGGGGGAAACAAAAGGAAAAGAAAAGGCAGCATTGAGCTCGGTGACTGTTTCAGAAATTGATCATCTGGCCACGCGGATGATGGGCGGAGAGATGAGACAAGTGCAGCATCGCAAAAGGGGCAGGGAGCGTGGGGGGGGGGGGGGGAGGGGCAGTCCGGGCAGGGGAAAAGAGGCTGACGGTGAGTCCGTGGGGAGGGGGAGGGGCAGGGGCGGCTGACGGCAAGTCGGCGTGGGGGCCGTGGCAGCGGCGTCGGTCGCTTTTGTTTTCTGAAAAGGCAGGGACGAGGCTTCACACAATCTTCTTGATGCTGTGACGCTTGAAGCTGCCCGCGCTCCTCTGCTTCTGAACTTGGCTGGCGGAGCCGTGGCGGGTCCTCCCGCTGCTGGAGTGCCCTGTGGTGGGGGAGAGCTCCACGTTCTCCTTGTCGATGCCTAGAGGAACACAAAGGAAACGTGGGTTTCAATCTGAGCGCTATCAGACACAGATGTCACCGTCCAGGAGAGCTTTTGTGGTCTCTGCAGCATCTTCGGGGCTGTGCGGCCAGTCCGAAGGGCTGACCGCTGAAAGCCTCCTCTTTCAGGACGTAAAGATCGGACGGCATCACACAAAACTAGCCCAAGGAAAAGGAAGCAGAGGTGCTGCAGGAAGAATCCAGAAGCAGCAGGCCATAGTCTCCCCGTGGCTTGCAGCAGAGGTCAGCTTTCAGCCAGCCAGCACTCCCAGGCTCCATGCTATCACCCAAGTCCCCTTTTTACAGAGAACATGCCCCCCGACACACCACAAATCTACTGTTTTACAAATCGATTTGTTGGAATTCGATAGCCTCCTTCTTCCTCCCTGTGTTTAAATTCCTCTAAAATGTCATTTTCCAGAGGGCGTCTCTCCCTTGGTTCCAGGCTTTTGTTTTTCCCGTCTAAACTGAGAAGCCCTTTATCCCACCTGGACACTGGCCAGACAATCCAAGGGCTAAGGGCGGTAAGCGAAAGGCCTCCTAAGTCCTTATTCCAATGCTACAGAATCCAGTCAAACCTACCCACTACCGGACTAAGGAGAAAAAACAGACCTCTAAAAATGTGTTGGACTATGAGCTCTCAGCTTATCCTCAAACTCAGGAATGAACACAGAAACAACCTAATCGTTACAACATGGGCAGAGATTAGTCTCTGTAGCTATGTGACAAGGGGTTGGTGTGTGTATAGCGGGGTGCGGGGGGGGGGGGAGAGGGGGGGGGGGGGGGGGAGGAGAAAGAGAAGAGGAGGAGGGGCAAGGGGAAAGAGGGGTATGAGAATGGGAAAGGAAAAGGGGGGGAGATGGATAACCAAGTTTTTGCTCAGAGAACAGAAAATATTTAGACAAGAAGGCTTTACACACATTCTAAAACTTGATAATATCGGATGACCTTATCTTTGTATGCAAAGCCTAGAATATCATGCTTTATCAATCCCAAAGACAGGTCAATTGAGAGTTACAACTGAAATTCTGTGCTACAAAGGCCACCTTCGTGTTGTCCTGCCTCTGCAGTTCACGAGTGGCTAACACCCGCACTTGGCTCACAAACTGCACGGACACGTGGAAGGATTTATTCCACGATCATACTTTCGTTTGGGGCCTAAGGAAACAATTCTTATGTGAACATACTGTGGCCTGTTGCCCCTTAAAAGCAGGTCTTGAGCTTTCCTGTCTGTTATGTCCTTTACTTCCCCTTCACTGGGGGGACGGCAGTTACTAAGTGCACTTATCTGGAACCAAGTCTTTGTTGATAACATGCTGGGTAAGACCAGGAGAATAAAAATGATGAGACAAAAGCGCTCCTCTGGCTTGTATACAATTTAAAGGTGACTTGGGATTTCCTGGGGAATTTGGGATTCTCAGACCCTCCTTTGCCATTGACACATGGAGCTTGTGTGTGGAAGCAAACAAGCTGCTCCAAAAAGGTGAGCCCTGGCTCCAAGGAGAACGAACACCTCCAACGGGACCCCAGAGGAGAGGAAGTGGGAGCTCAGTTATCCCCAGAGTTCTGAGGCTTCTGCACAGAACCGTCTCCAAAAGATGGCGGCCTGGGGGGCAGCTAGGTGGTACAGTGGAGAGAGCACCCGCCCTGGAGTCGGGAGGACCTGAGTTCAAATCCGGCCTCAGACACATAACACTCGCTAGCTGTGTGACTCTGGGCAAGTCGCTTAACCCCATTGCCTAGAAAAAACAAACAAACAAACAAAGGATGGAGGCCTGTTCACTGCAGTCGCCTCTCCCCTCCAAACCCGAGGAGGAGGTGAAAAGCGGTGGTCCTTTCTTCTCTCTAGAGCAGCACTAGCCTCCAGGCCCAATACCTCCTGGTCACAGCTGATTCCTCCTGTCCCTCACTGTCCCCTCACCTCTACCTATCAGGGTGGAGGCACTGAGCAGCAGAACAAAATACTTTTGTTCTTGTGAAGCTGCAATTCTACAGGATCTCTTTACCCTGTCAAGTTACCCAAAAGAGCTTTTGTTTATTTGAATTACGTTTACCCACATTTACTACATGCTTATAAATATGCCATTATTTACTATTAAAAATAAATAAAATTTTAAAATATTTATCAATTCATTTGAAAAAGCAATACAACAACTATAGGTTAACGTAAATACTGTTTGAAAAACAACTACATTTTCAAAAAATTAGTGAGTGAAGTGGTATTGTTTTACATTTTTGCACATTTCTTTAATGTCTGGCTTAACAGAAGAGAGCTGTATTCTCCTTATCTGCTGCTGTATTCAATTTGTTGCAATAAGTTTTTTTGGTTTAAGTATATGAAGAAAATCCAATCCCATACGCAAACAGTTAGAAAAGTGAAGAGTGTTTTCATAGGCCAATAAATATCGTGATCAGGATTAGGTATCACGGGGTAAGGCGGGGACTTCTTTGAGGAATGCTAGTAAGAGCAGGATGCTTTTCTCTCCCTTCAACCAGAAGGATGAGTTTTAGGAAATGACTGTTAAGGACCAACAGTTTCCAGTTGCTGCTACCTTGTTCAAACAAATAAAAAACCATAAAACTGATCTTTGTTTTGCTTTCTGCAGAATTTTGTTTTTATCTCCTGAGCCCCATAAATTATTATTATTATTTTGGGGGGGGGCTAGGCAATGGGGTTAAGTGACTTGCCCAGGGCCACACAGCTAGCAAATGTTATGTGTCTGAGGCCGGATTTGAACTCAGGTCCTCCTGAATCCAGGGCCGGTGCTCTATCCACTGTGCCACTAGCCGCCCCGCCCTGAGCCCCATAAATTATAAGTAGAAAAGGGCTCGGGTCAAAGAGAACCCTTCGGATGTGTTTAAGTAAAGAGACCTGGATTTAGAGGACTAAATTAGTTTCTGAGAGAAGTGGCAAACGAGCCCAAGCCCCTAGTTTTTCTTCCAAATCAGCTTGGTTGCTTCTATTTGTACTTCATGTCTCTCACTGAGCTCTTCTTCCTCTGCAGCCACACCGTCTACACCTGCCAGGTCAGAGCCTCATCACCTCTCACCTGGACCACCACCAGTCTCCTAAGTGGTCTCCTGGCTTTCCGTCCACATGCCGATCCAGCTGCCAAAATACCTTGCCCAAGGCATACGTAGGTCTGACCCTGTTGTTCCTCTGCTGAAAAGCCTTCAGTAGGCTTTAGAAGAATCCCCATTTGGGATCCCAAACACCTTTCTGGACTTCCTCAATATTCTCCCTGCTGTAGCCCAATGAGGAGGGTGGCTCTTTCCCATCTCCTGCCTCCATGCATTCTTGGAGGCACATCCCACTTCTCTCCATCTCAGAGAATACTGCCTTTTCTCCAGGCTCCGCTCAGGCCCTCTGGGCACTGGCAAGCCTTCCCTCCCCACTCAGGCTTCTCTCCCACCTCCATTTCCCTTAGACTGTCCTTCTTGCTTAACCTGGCCTATCTCACAGGAGAACTCCAGCTCCTTTAGGGCAGAGACTGTTTCTTGTGGCCTCCCCAGCGCCCAGAATCAGCAGCAGGGATTTAATGACTCCCCAATCAGCCTCAGGGGATAATAAGGCCCAATGGCAATGAGTCTCTTTTAAAACCTAACTTTGAGCCAAAAAACTGGAACAACGGAAAAGTGTCCAAGAATGAAGGACAGAACAAGAGACATTACTGTAAGAAACCCTGAGCAGGCTTGAAAAATAGAGGCCCCAGGTTACAAATATCATTATAATTACACCTAAATGTGTTCTGGAAAAAACTCCAAAGATAACATGAAAGGATATTAAATTATAGCTGATTCTTGCATTGAAGCCTCTCTATGTTCTGCATTCTATTTCTCTGAGATTTACACACTGGTAGATCTCTATAGGACGGGAAAGGACTCACGACTGCCCATCTCTAACGGTACTGGTACTGCACGCCAGGGAGCGTGGGCTGCAAAGGGCAGGGATGAGCGCCGACCCTTGCAATGCTGGGCTCAGAAGAGGCACGGCTTTGGATCACCCTGTCCAATGTTCTCTAAAGGTTTTAAGCCCGTCCTTCGGGGAAGGTACTTTTGGCAAAGCAAACTCCATGGGCAGAGTTCTTTAAGCAAAATGACCGGGGCTTGGCAGGATTCCCTGAATAACGGGGGTGAACTGGCACTCTGGCCTACTCTGTAGGGTGGTCCTGATGCACTGGGACCACCCTAAATTATTTCAGTGAATCAATCTTGCAGTCAGTTATGACCATGGAGAAGAAAAGCTGAAAATGGTGTGTGTGTGTGTGTGTGTGTGTGTGTGTTTTGGGGGGGAGAGGGCTGGTTTTTGTTTTTGTTTTCTTTTTGGTCATCAGTTTTGATTATGGGGGCTCTGAGTAGAACTGAGTTCTAAATAACCCATCCACATTGGTCACATACTTTAATAGATGGAACTGTTCCTGAATATTAAGAAGAAAAAAACACCCCCAAAACAAAAGACCCTCTGAAATATAAGAATTTTCTTATTTTACATAAAACCTATTAACTTATTACCTAATACAGGCTTTAAAAAGGAAAGATTCAATCTCTATTCTAACAAACTGAGATGTGAGTTAAATGATTTACTAGAAGTCAAATAACAGCACTCAGTAGATAAGCATTTATAAATCACTTACTATGTGCCAGGCACTGTGCTAAGCTCTTGGGAGACAGGGAAAGGCAAAAACACGGTCCCTGCCCTCAAGGAGCTCCCATTCTATGGGGAGAAACAACATGCAAACAACTATGTACATACCAGATCCACAGTGGAGAAATAGCAAGTCATCTCAGAAGGGAGGGGCTGGCCCTAGGGGGCTGTGGAAAGGCCATCCGCCCAAGGTAAGATCTGAGTTGAGTCAGGAAGGACGCCAGGAAACAGAGGAGGTGGGGGATGGTATTCCAGGCACAGGAGTCAGTTGGTGCAGAGACACAAAGTTAGGAGACAATGGGGCCAGTATGAAGGGCAGCATCACCAGACCTCTG